GGGGTGAGGACAGGGAGGACTGTGAGGCGATCCGGAGGGATCTGTCGAGGCTGGGTCAGTGGGCGTCAACATGACAAATGTGGTTCCGCTTGGGCAAGTGCAAAGTGATGCACATTGGAGCCAAAAATCCTAACGATAAATACACGCTGATGGGATCCGAACTGCTGGAGACTGACCAGAAGACAAATCTCGAAGATGCTGTCGATAACTCACTGCAGATATCGATTCAGTGTGCGACTGCAATAAAAAAAGGCAAATGCTGTGCTGGGGTTTATTAGGAAGGGAACTTAAAACAAATCAGCCAGTATCATAATATTTTTGTTGTTGTTCAGTCGCACAGTCGAGTCCGACTCTTCGCATTAATCTGGTCTCTTTTGCTATTGCATTGTTCTGTGCGCATCTGGCACATATCTGTATATATCTGTATATATTTTTTCATACCAGACTGTTTTGGGATTGTGTGTTATTCTTGTGGATTGTCAGCCTCCAGGTGGGACCTGGGGATCCCGTGGAATTACAGCTCAGACGACAGAGATCAGTTCCCCTGGAGGAAATGGATGCTCTGGAAGGGGGGGACTCTGCGGATTTTACCCCACTGAGGTCCCTGTTCTCTCCGGGCTCCACCTCCCAAATCTCCAGGGGGGTTCCCAACCTGGATCTGGCAACCCCATCTCCCACCAGTGGGCCAAGGGAGACCTGGCAGCCAATGCTCCCTCTAAGCTGCGGAGCCTTGTGAGCATAAGTTCTGCTTTGTGAGCTCCTGGCAGTCAAGTTCTGAGCGAGCGATTTGGCTACTGCATCAATTAGTTTGCCCTGGAGCCGTCCTTCCTGAGCGAAGACAAAAATGTGTGAGCCGGAGGCTAAAAAACTGTGAGCTGGCTCACACTCACTCAGCTTAGGGGGAACACTGCTGGCAACCCTTCTTGGGAGGGGGGGTGAGTGGTGAAAGTTGTGGTAGCAAGAACCATCATTTAAAATACCGTTTTTATAAAGCATCCCCACCGTACACAAAAAACCTGGGTCTCCAACTGCTTGACTCTTTAAAAAAAGAGTTATAAACAGATGCAGCAGCCCACACAAAATCCAGGGCGAGAGAGAAAATCCACAGCATGCTTTTTTAAATTGAGGCCAATCCAAACAGCACAAAATCTCCTGCAAACTTTGGTATGAACTCTTTATCGGGCAGCTGTTCCTTCTGGCGTTCGAAGCAACTGCCAGATGAAGAGACGGTGCAAAACTTTGTGTAATATTTGGTCTCGTTTCGATCGGCCCTGATCCAAAAGGTGTCCTGTGGGTTTTCTCTCTCGTTCTTGACATTTAGGGGGAGCCCATAAAATGCAATAAACCTATGCTTATAATGTCTGTGTTTATAATTTACATTAGCAATGTGGGGGGGGGGATTCAAAGGGGGAGGGACACACAGCCAAGGGGACCAACAGCAAACGTCTCAAGTGGCTCTTTATCCTGCCCTTTCACCAATGAGCTCATGGATCGCCCCTTAATCTTCACAACAACCCTGTGAGGTAGGGTAGGTGGAGACAAAATCACCGCCTGAAAGCTGTCTAGTAAGTTTCATGGCAAGAAGGGATTTGAACCCCGGTCTGCCAGGCCTCAGGCCAATTTTCCAGGTACCTATGCCACACTTTATACCCTTATACCACCCTAGGCTCCTATAATGCACAGTACTGAGAGCCAGTTTGGTGTAGTGGTGAAGTGCACGGACTCTAATCTGGGAGAACTGGGTTTGATTCCCCACTCCTCCACTTGCAGCTGCTGGTGTGGCCTTGGGTCAGTCACACGTTCTCTCAGAGCTGTTCTCTCATGAGTAGTCCTCGAAAGAGCCCTCTCAGCCCCACCCGCCTCACAGGGTGTCTGTTGTGGGGAGGGGAAGGGAAAGGAGTTTTAAGCCGCTCTGAGACTCCGAGTGAAGGGCGGGGTATAAATCCAATCTCTTCTTCTTTCTTCTTCTTCTATTTTCTTAACGGAGACAGTGTGATGTAGCGGTTAGAGTGTCTGACTTTAGGCTCAGTCCTCCCCCCCCAAAAAAGAAACTTCTTGATGCTCACTGCATATCTTTGAGTCCCTCCCTCCCTCTCAGTCTATCCTATCCTACCTGACAGGGTTGTTGTACAGATAAAAGGGGGAAAACTTGAGAATGAAAATGTGGAGAAGCAGCCTTTTCCTAGGGTTGCCGGGTCTGGGTTGGAAAATACCTCGGGACTTTGGGGGTGGAGCCGGGAGGGGGCGGGGTTTGGGGAGGGGAGGGGCCTCAGCATGGCACAGTCCCATAGAATCCACCCTTCAAAGCAGCCATTTTCTCCAGGGGAACTGATCTCTGTCAGCTGGGGACCAGTTGTAAAAGCGGGGTATTCCCAGGCCCCACCTGGAGGTTGGCAACCCTATTGCCAGGGGGAAAGGCGGTTTTTGCAGGCTGCTATTATTTGGATACCAAGGGATTCAAATTTTTACCTGAATGGTAGGTGATGTGCGGCTGGCACTACCTGCTTTTTCCACTATGCAATGACTTGCACAAGGGAATGGTTCTAGGCAATGGTCTTTCCCTGATCGACTCACTGTGCACGTAGACTGAGAATGTAATGGGGAGAAGGATGTCACAAGGTTCTGCTGCCCCCAGGCATAGATTGATGCCTTTAATGTGTGGGTAATATGAAAACATTATCAGTATGCAATGCTGTGATTGGGGGCGGAATGGGGCAGTGGTAGCCATAGAGCTATGGGGTGCCCATTCATATGGATATGTAACTCCTTGTTTTGACTGGTATTTTGCTTTCTGCTTTGCCATTTGGAAGTCACAGGCTTACCAGGCTGCTGATGTAACAAGATCACAGGACTGAACTACCTGCTTTCTTTTATCAGGAGACAGTCCTAATAGCAAACTCTTCTTAAAACATTTGCACAATTGTGACGTCACCTTCGCGTGGCTTCCCTCCCCCCCGGCTCGTAATCCCCCCGCCGACCCTTACGTGGGAAGAGGACAGGTGATGGGGCGGGGGAGGAGCGGGGAGTGCGTGGCGGAGGGGGAGGGGAAGAGGAGGAGGAGGGAGGGGGGCGAATCCGCGGAACAGCCGGGCGGGGGGGGCGGGGCGGACGGACGAGCGCTTTTCCTTCCCTTTCTCCCATTCTTCCCCTTGGAGGCTATTCTCATTCAATGAGTCTCTCCTCCCGCTCGTGATAGGCCGAGGCGTTCCATTTGAAGTGTCTCCCCCGTCGCGGATTGGCCGGGCGGGGAGCCCCGTCGGAAAGGAGTGGGCGGCGCCTGTGCCTTGAAATAAGCCAGCCCGGCGCGTCTGGCTTGGCGGAGCGGTCGCTGCCTTTGTCTGCGGAGGGAGGCAGAGGCCGGCCGGGGGAAGGCGGAGGGGATCGGGGTCTTCCGCACCGCTTGTCCACTGATCTCTCCCCTCTTTCTTTGCACAGCCTCCTCCGGGACGGGACGGATCTTCTCGGCTTGGCTGGCTGCGGCGCCCAGGAGGGATTGGCCTGAGACGGTTCCATCCTCCGGTCTCCCCCCCAGTGGTATGTGACCTGTGGATTTGAGAATCCTGGGAAAGAGGGGAAAGCCACAGCCGAGCACCATGCCGGTGGAGACCCTGCAAGCCAGCCACCACCCGGCCGTCGGGCCCTTCACCTCGGCCATGCCCTTCCGCATCCTCAACAAGGGGCCCGAGTACTTCCGCCGGCCGGCGGCCCCCGGCGCCGCCAAGAAGCCCAGCGCCGTGGAGCGGCTGGAGGCCGACAAGGCCAAGTACGTCAAGAGCCAGCAGGTGGCCAGCACCAAGCAGGAGCCGGTGAAGCCCCGCTTCCTCAAGCAGCCCCTCTTTGCCCCCGGGGTGCGCCGGGCGATGCTCACCCCCAGCCGCAAGACCCCGCAGGGAGGGCGCCGGGCCGACGTCTGTGCTGGCAAGTCCTCCCTGAACCTGGAGATCCTCAACAACCTGATCAACTTTTGCGACAGCCCGCTCTCCTTCCCCAAACCGGAGAGCCCCCTGGAGCACAAGTGGATGCCCGAGCCCCACGGCAGAACCCCCGGAAGCTTGCCGGGCACCCCACGGAAAAAGGCTCCCGGGGAGGGCATGAGTAAGCTCTCCCAAAGCTCGGCCTCCTCCAAGCCCCCCAGCACTGTGGCCGTGCGCCGGGTGGACGTCCGGCCGTGTGCGGCACTGCGGGCGAGGGTGACCCCGACGATCCAATTGACTCCTGTCCCCACCTCTCCCGCCCATGCCCGGATCCCGTCCGCCAGCTCCCTGAACCCCCAGAGCCCCTGCAGAGAGCTGTGGCCGGAGAGCCCCAAGCACCAGACCCTCTTGCACCGGTCCAAGTCGGACCTGAGCGACCGGTATTCCCGGGCGACGGCCGACCTGGAGCGCTTCTTCAACTACTGCGGCCTGGACCCCGAGGACATGGGCGACGTGGAAGTCGAGCGCTTTGCGCGGGCCAGCTCCGACATCGTCTCCCTCAAGTTCCACAGCGTCAGCACGGCCAGCTCGGAGGGGACCCGCTCCCGGCGCAGCGCCGTCACCTTGGAGGAGAGGCAGGCCGAGCGCATGCCCTATGGCATCTCCATCATCGAGCGCAACGCCCGGGTCATCAAGTGGCTGTACGGACTCCGGCAGGCGAAGGAATCCCAGAAGGTATCCAACGTATAGTGGGGCGGCTTCTGCGGACTCCCGGCGAGGAAAGAAACCAAACTTTTTGCAGTCTTCGTTGGACGTTTTGGTATTTGACAATTGGAGGGAGACTTTGCTGCCGTTCCAGGTTCTGTTTGTGTCCCTGTGAGAAATATCCGGCATGCGCGTTGTTGTTGGTGGTGGTGACGTCTTTCCGTTGAGGAATCCCTTAGTCTCGGAAAGGGGCAGAAAGTCCACCTGCAGATAAGAATATTTGGGCTTATTCCGCTGTAATGTTGTGTGCAAATGGTACCCTTTCAAGAAGTTTCCCCAGCAGCTGAATCACAGGGGAACTCATCCCATGGAGTCTTTCCCCACCTAGATAGCTTCAGAGGGGAGCCATGTGGGTCGGCAGTAGCACAGGTAGATGTGAGTCTGATAACAGGTTAGAGACCGTCGAGAGGTGGGGTGTGTGATCTTTCGAGGGTCTACGCTCACTTCCTCAGATACAAGTCGGAATGGAGATCTTTGAGCCCTTCTATTCCAGTCGGAAAGGGGGAGGAGTGTTACAGATGCTCATTCTCTGCCCCCCGCCAAGCAATCCTTCCCTCCTCCAGTCAAGCCGATTGCCTTTTGCATTGTACCTTTGCGCGCACAACCCGCCCTTCCATGCGGCACCCTTCCCACCTTCCGACTGGGATATAAGGCAGTGTTCCCTCTAAGCTGAGTTTAGTGTGAGCCGGCTCACAGCGTTTTAGCTTTCGGCTCACACATTTTTGTCTTAGCTCAGGAAGGATGGCTCCAGAGCAAACTAAGCTATGCAGCAGCCCAGTTGCTTGCTCACAACTTTAATGCCAGGAGCTCACAGAGTAGGATTTTTGCTCACAAGACTCCACAGCTTAGAGGGAACATTGATATAAGGACATCCGGATCCTCCTTCCAGCTCGTCCCTGACGAAGGGAGGTTTGCCTCGCGAAAGCTCCCACCATGAAACTTGTATTTCTCTCTAAGACGTTCCTCTAGCTTTTCCCACCTAGGTTTCCCAGGGTTAGGTTTGGCGGGAGCGGGATTCTAGATCTCGCTTGTCCACTTCTTCCCGATAGAATTAAACGGAGAACCGTTTTTTCGCACAAGGAGTCTATCTGTCCCGGGAGCATCAAAGCTCACATTAAGAGAGGCTCACGCAATAGAGATGGGGAGGGCAAAACTGAAGTGTACAAAAGATACTTTAAAACGTGGGGATTTACCAAACGCCCTGCCGGAGAAGACATACGAAAGAGGCTCTTCTCCGGCCGATCCACGCAGTTGGCAGTAGTGACAAGTGCGCCAGCACATCAGAGGGGGTTTGTCTTGTGTGCCAATGCTCCCTCTAAGCCGTACCAATGCTCCCTCTAAGCCGTGGAGTCTTGTGAGCAAAAATTCCACTTTGTGAGCTACTGGCATGAAAGTTGTGAGCGAGCCATCTGGCTACCGTGTCCGTTAGGTTAGTTTGCTCTGGCGCCCTCCTTCCTGAGCGGAGACAAAAATGTGTGAGCCGGGGGCTTAAAAACTGTGAGCTGGCTCGCACTTACTCAGCTTAGAGGGAACACTGGACTCGGCGCCCTGGCAGGCGAGTGGCATCAACAGCTGCTTCCAAGCCAAGGCCCTGTGGCTGTTCTGGTGGTGTGGGACATGGGGGGCCTTGCTTTGGGGGTGACGTCATACTTTGAACTGGCACTTGGGGGTGCAGCAAGACAGCTTCCTTAAAATAAGGGGTTTACCGCTGGCGGGTCCTGGATTCCAAACACGGTCCAGGTTAGAGCTGCCCTTTGGAGGCTTTGATCGCACACCTGCTTGCCCGCTCGGCCCTGGGAACCAGCTTAGGGGGTGTGGGGGGGTTAGCGGGAGGGACAACAAGCTCGGGAACAATGGGGCCTCTTACGGCTGAGCGAGCTTGCAAAGCCGATTGTGTGCGAGCGAGGAGAGAGCAGCAGAGAGGAATGCGAAGCGGTGTTGGTGCGCGCCCTGGAAACACCTCTCCGGCTCGCTGCCCGGCCAATCGCCGAGCCTCTGCCCTCTTTCCGGGACGGTTTGCCCAGGGCGCTTTGCCAACAAAGGCGGGGATCGGGCAGCCCTTCCGAGTCTGGGCTTCAGCTTTCGAAAGCAAGGAGAGTTTTAACGGCAGGCCGCTGTGTCATCCGGTACCTGTGCAATCCTGCGGTGTTGCTTGTGAATTCTCCACCTTTTTGACACCCGTGTGAACAGCCAGGGGCGGGTGACAACCCTGGGAAGCAATGAGGCATAGGAGTGGAGGAGATTTTGCCAGGAGTTCTCTGCCTCCTGGAGGGCTGCCAACCTCCACATGGGGCCTGGAGATCTCCTGGAGTTACAACTGATTGCTAGGTGACAGAAATCAGCTGCCCTGGAGAAAATGGCTGCTTTGGAAGGTGGATTCTTTGGCATTATATCCTGCTGAGGTCCCTCCATCCTGCCCATCCCAAGCTTCACCCCCAAATCTCCAGGAACGTCCTGACCCGGAGTTGGCAATGCTAGATTTCCCGTGATTCTGATTTCTAGATTTCTAGAGTCAGTTTGGTGTAGTGGTTAAGTGTGTGGACTCTAATCTGGGAGAACCGGGTTTGAGTCCCCACTCCTCGACTCGCAGCTGCTGGATGACCTCGGGCAACCCGTCGTTCTGTCAGAGCTGTTCTTGAAAAAGAGCTGTTTCTGTCAGAGCTCTCCCAGGCCCGCCTACCTCACAGGGTGTCTGTTGTGGGGAGGGGGAGGGAAAGGAGATTGTAAGTCGCTCTGAGACTTCAAGTGAAGGACGGGGTATAAATCCAATCTCCTCCTCCTCCTCTTTTCCTCCTCCTCCTCCTCCTGGAGTCTGCCAAAAAATCCCCCCGGAGTCGTTTACCCAGGGCAAAGAGGGCTTCCACACATGCTGACCCCTTGACCATCAGAAATAATCTGCAGAGGTTGCTTCGATGCTCCCTGCCGCCATAGGAATCCAAGGAGACAATCTCTGTTCCTTCTAAATCATTACTGCTTCTGACAGATGCTTGTCTCATGGCCCAGGCGAGCCTGATCTCATCAGATCTTGGAAGCTAAGCAGGGTCGGCCCCGGTTAGGACTCGGATGGGAGACCACCAAGGGAGTCCAGGGTTGCTACGCAGAGGCAGGCAAGGGCAAAAGCCACCTCTGTCCATCTGCCCTGGCCTGGATGGCCCAGGCTAGCTCAGTCTTGCCAGATCTGGGAAGTTAAGCAGGGTCGGCCCCGGTTAGGACCTGGATGAGAGACCACCAAGGAAGTCCAGGGTTGCTACGCAGAGGCAGGCGACGGCCAACCACCTCCGAATGTCTCTTGCCTTGAAAACTCTAAGAAGTCACCATACGTTGGCTGGGACTTGGCAGTCCTTTCCCATGACGGCAATGGGAAAACAATTTTCTTCTCCAGTCTCCAGGCAGGGCAGCAGGAGTGAAAGAGGAGCATAGTGTATAACGAACCTCTTCCCCTTCCCCAAACCTTGACAGATGCAGCTGACATGTAAGTGCTATTTTACGGCTTCCTCTCCCGACTTCTATGCTTACCATTCCTCCCCCCCCCCCCCCCGGCCCTACGGTTGGTGTTTCTAAACCCGCTAAGTCATGATTTTGACCCTGGGACTCTCCATACTCTGCCCTGGAGCAGTGTTCCCTCTAAGCTGAATTAGTGTGAGCTAGCTCACAGTTTTTTAGCCTCTGGCTCACACGTTTTTGTCTTAGCTCAGGAAGGGTGGCTCCAGAGCAAACTAATGTATGTAGTAGCTAAATGGCTCGCTCACAACTTTAATGCCAGAAGCTCACAAAGTAGAATTTTTGCTCACAGGACTCTACAGCTTAGAGGGAACACTGCCCTGGAGTCTGTTTCCGGCTTTGGTCAGCTAACTGCTCTTTTGCAACGGCAAGGATCCTTTTCAGAGGATGAACGGCGGGCTTGGAAACCCTCCCCTTTAGTATTCGAGAGGGTAATTCTCGGGGGGGGGGGGCGGGCGGAAGCACATTAGGAAACAGTCCGCATCTGCCACGTGGTTCTGGCAGGGTGGCATTTGGCCAGTCGTCATCTGGAATCCTGGTTTCTCAGCCGTGGTATTTCCTTCGACACGGGTGGGAAATTCCCTCTGCCACAACAGGACTCCTCTAGGGTAAAGAATAGCGGGATCGCTCTGTGTGCTCGGAGAGGAATTGCCAATCGAGGTCCAGATTAAACGCATCCTGTTTTGGTTGGCCCGAGACCCAGAGCGGGGGGACGCCCCTCAGGGAAGTATTTATACAGTTCTGTGTTAGGCTGGGAAGAACGGGATATTGGTAGGCCCTTAGCCAAGAATGCACCGATCTACCCCTGTTGGGTAGCCCAAACTTCCCCATGCGTCTGTTGTGTATGTATAGTTGGGAGTGAATGCCTCTTCTTGTTCCAAACTTCGGAGTGTTCTGCGATGCCCGCCGCATTGACAGTGCTTTATTATTTATAGTGACGTTTCTTCGTATTTGTTCTTTCGAAATTTTGTACCTTCCTCTGTGCTGATGGTCTGCCCAGAAGGAGGGGGCAGGGAGAAACCCTGATTTGTATTAAAGTCGTGTTCTTTCAAGAGTTGCCTCTTCTTCTCTCTCTCTTCCCCCCCCCCATTCAAATGGAGGAAACCCTCTTGAACGCTTGTAACCCCGGGAGAAAGGCCGGGATGGACGTGACGAGTTCCGGAAGGATGCACTCGCATTTAAAAATAAACGGCCCATGCAGTGGGGGCGGGGGGGGGCTGTTTCTGCAGCCGAGCCCCATAGTGGCAACTGAACACTGTAAATAAAAAAGGGTAAAGAGGCGGTGGTTGGAGGGAGTGGCTTTGCTCTGGAAACTTAAAATCCAAACATTCAGATTTCTTTGAATCATAGAGTTGGAGGGGACCTCCAGGGTCATCTAGTCCAACCCCCTGCACAATGCAGGAAATTCACAAATACATCACCCCCACACCCCCAGCGGCCACTGTTCCATGCCCAGATGACAACCCTCCAGGATCCCTGGCGAAACTGCTCTGGAGAACAATTGCTTCCTGACCCCCAGAGTGGCAATCGGCATTTCCCTGGGCGTGTAAGAAGAAGTAGAGCTTGGTATGTCATTAGGTACATCGTACCGCAGTGTTAGCCACCCTGAGCCCGTTCGCGGGATGGGCGGGATATAAATATAATAAATAAATAAATAAGATTTATACCCCGCTCTTCACTCGGGAGTCTCAGAGCGGCTGACAAACTCCTTTCCCTTCCCCTCCCCACAACAGACACCCTGGGAGGTAGGTGGGGCTGAGAGAGCTCTGAGAGAACTGCTCTTTTTCAGGAACAGCTCTTGTCAGAACTACGGCTTGCCCAAGGTCATCCAACCAGGTGCAAGTGGAGGCGTGG